AAAAAAAAAAAAAAAAAAAAAATAATAATAATAATAATAATAATAATAATAATAATAATAAAAAAAACCTCTTTTATAATAACACAGGTACAAAGTTCTTGTACTGCTACAGGAGAGATCAATTCATTGGTTAATATTGTACTTTATGGTAAATTATATGGCTATGGTTGTTATTATTATTAATAGGACATTATGATATCTGAAAAGTACAATTTAAGAATCAGACATACTTATCATTCTTAGAGTTAGATACACTGAATTTTCATTTCTAGTATCACTTTCTTTTTCTCTATCCCTTTCTCAGAATTTTATAGTTTGTATATTTTATGTTATCAAAATATTTAAATTAAATTAAACAGTAGATAGATGATACATATTAACAAATCAGGGGGTTTGAATCAGGACAGTCGGGTCAGAGTCCAAAAATCAGGACATGACCTGATATATCAGAAAGTCTGGTAACCTTACCCAGAAGGTATTATTAACAGTTGATTAATTTCTTAAGGTTAAATGACATGAATCAGCCATTGATTGGTAATTTTATCAGGGACTGATTCATATCAATAAACCTTAAAAAATAAATCAACTGTGAATAATAACTCCAGAGCCATTCACTGCCAGGTTAAAAACTTGCAATGAAACTTAAGTTATCTCTATCATCTGTAACTTCAAACATCTACATTAATTTCTTTTGATTTCAGTACATGCATGTGTGTGTGGGCAGGAGGGTCCTGTTTGCTTTGAATACTGCATCATCTGCTACTCAATATTTGGCAGGACAAAGGAGATAACAACTTACAGTGTAATTCCAGAGGCACTCCCCTGCACCATCACTTGGCTTCAACTGAACCTGAAGACATGAAAACAAATGAAATTACAACACGGTTAATACATTTGCAAGAATTGTTTTTTAAAATCATCAATCAAACATACTATCACATTTACTGTCTACAAGAAAAATCAAAGAAACTATTAATTAAGTAGAAATTTCCTTGCTGTGTTCGGGATGCAGGAAGTTATAAAACTATTTTTATTATCAATAGGGGATTGTCATGACTTCTGTCAATTCTACAATTGCCAAACATGATCTCAGGAAGTTAATATTCTTACCACATCAACTTTTATGTTTTCATCCAATGCTTCGGCACTATCCATTGCTATAGAAGTTATTTAAGCCCTTCTTCACACAAACTTGCTTTCTAAGTAATTCAGCGAAGTTAATGTCATTTTTTTAGTTTGTATTTTATCTTGTTTATGAAAGTCCGCGGCGGTCAATTTCGTGCGCATTGCGCAACGAAAGTCGCAGTCGCAAGTAGCAACCACATCGCAAAGTCCGGATCGCAACTCCCAGCTGTTCGCTGCTGTTGACGCGACTGCAGTCGCAAGATCGTATTGCCAGAAGCTGCCGTGGGAACGAGGAATGGGGACTGTGCGTTTGTTTCATTCGAAAAAGTACAATTAAATGCGAAAAAACTAAAAATAAATCGTTAAGGTAGAAATTGTATATTTACAATATTGCGGGATTTGTGGCTATCGGCTCGAATGTTTCTTCTACTCGAATAGTACAGTGCTCTTAAATTCGTTAAATTGGCACATTTCTTAAAGGGTATGTAGATCCTCAGGCGCGGATCCAAGGGGTGGGAAATGAGGGAAATTTTCCCCAAAAAATGTTTCAGTAACTATTAATTTTAACTTGTCACGAAACTTTCAAGCCAAATTATTTCTGGATAATCATCAAAATGAATAAAATCTTAGCGTAGCAATAGCTGAGTGTAGTTGTTGACACTTTACAAAAAATGTGTAACGTGACACATTCGATCGAAACATTTTTAATTTTCCCTCCCAAAATTTGTCTCTGTATTCGCTCCTGCTTCGTTTTATATAAAATAGCACCTTAGAATCATTGTTAAGACCATGATATTTACTTCAAACTATTTTCGTAATGAAGAGAGCTTGAGAGACATATGTCTAATATAATAGTGCCTCTTTAAGTCAAATTTGGGACGAGATCCGCAGCTATATTTAACAAACAGAAGAATCATTGTAAATAACAAACTTGACAAGAAACACAATCCTCGACGATCTCAAAATACAACCAAAAAACTTACTAATGCTCTAGGAAACGCATAAGCGGACTCCTAAACTTGCCACGCAAAACTTTCCCGCCAAACGTGACGTTATTCTGAACCATTATGGTAGGTACAAGTATGTCACAGTTGTTTCATTGTTTGAAAATAAATACTACTTGTTACAAAATATGGAGAAGTCAGAAATTAAAATTATTTTTTCATTGAAATGTCCGTCATAAAATAAGATATTAAGGGACCAAGAGAAACATAGAAGAATTTTAATTCTTAATTCGTTCACGAACATAAATGTATTTTAGACTTTAAAAGACGTATACACATATTATACAATGTTATTTTACGCGTGATATTAGAAACGTATTATTCAGAAGAAAACGGAAGGAAAATGTACTTTTTACAATCGAAGATCCCTCCAAGGAGAGTCCACAAAAGAATTGGAATATTGCATTTTCCTTGGAGAGCTCACCAACCTCGCGGGAGGGAAGGTCGCGCGGGAAGTAGGGAGTTCTTCGGAGTTCTTTCTTACATTTAACAGCAGTCAGTTGATCAACTCATTCCAGACCGTTGCCGTAAGAAAGTCGGTTATTGTGTGGGTCTGGAATTTGAAGTGTGCTTGCAGTTGTGCTGAATTACAAAAGCTTCATTCGAGATCATTTCTTGTGTCGAAGCAATCGGAAATGAGTGGCGATCAGGCTACGAAATCTGGACCGGGTGGGAGCGAGTCGGAATCTGCAGGAGATGCCCTAACCTTGTTTACTCAAGGTAAAAGGCATCTTCTTGTTAAAGATTATCCCGAAGCAGTCTCTTCTTTAGGTCAGGCATGTGGCCTGCTTGCAGCGAAGTATGGAGAAACAGCCGATGAATGTGGGGAAGCTTACTTGTTCTACGGGAAGGCATTATTGGAACTTGCTCGCACAGAAAGTGGCGTCCTAGGAGATGCAATTGAAGGAGAGGAAAGTGGAGAAGAATCGGATGAAGAAGGCGAAGAAACTGAGGAGAACGGAAAAGATAAGGGGGAGGATGAGAACGGTCAAGATAAAGCCGAAGAGGACGCCAAAGATAAAGCAGAAGAGGAGGGCGGTAAAGATGATGCCGGTGAAGGAGAGTCAACTACAGAGAATAAAGATGGTAACGCTACTGAAGAAAAAGATAAAGGTGAGGAGGGAGCGGCGAATGGTGAAGAAGAAGAGGAGGATGTGTCAAACTTGAAGCTAGCTTGGGAAATGCTGGAGTTGGCGAAAATTATATTTCAAAGACAGACAAAAGATACACAGATGAACTTGAAACTTGCAGAGGTGTTCTTAAACTTAGGTGAAGTTGGTTTGGAATCCGAAACATATGAACAAGCTATTCAGGATCTTCAGAGTGGTCTCAAGATACAGAAGGAACATTTACCTGAAGACGACAGAAGAATAGCAGAGACTTATTATCGATTAGGAATGGCTTATAGTCTTAATAATGAATTTGATGAAGCTGTACAACAATATTCTGATGCTGTTGCACTTCTGGAACTTAGAGTGAAGAACTTAGAAGTAAAAAGTGCATCAGGTGATAAACCTGACGAGTCGGATGCATTTTATACGATAGAAGGTGAGATAAAGGAATTAAATGAACTCCTTCCGGACTTAAGAGATAAAATTTTAGAACTGAAGGAAATGAAAGCAGAAACAATTAAAGCAGTGAGCGACTTAATAAGAGAAGGTGGAGCTGGAAGTTCCAAGAGTGGAGAGTCCTCTGCAAAACCCATAGAAACAAAATCTGCATCTAATATTACTCACTTGGTGAGGAAAAAACAAAAGGCTGATGAATCTACAGCGACAGTTCAGAAAGCTGCAAGCCCTGATGCTGTTCCTGCCAAAATTCAAAAATCAGAGTAATAGCAGGTGAGTTTTGATAAATTTATTATACATTTAGAAAACATGAAGATTCTGGTATCAAGAAAGTGGTGTGTTAAGTTTATTCATTTGAAAAGTTATTACGCATTATTGGGTGTATTTATTATTTGAATATATTTGTAACAACTTTTATTTGTTGTAAATTTATTTCTTGGCTCAAGTATAGTTAGATGTGTTACTGTAAATGCGTAAAAGTGAGTGCCTTGTTCCTTAGTAGTAGCATGTGTAAAATCTCATTATTTCATACACTGCACTGCCTTTAAAATGTTTGATTCATACAATTTTGGAATTAATCTTGATCTACTCTTCTATTACTGTTCCTTCCAATGTCAAATTTTTGTGATGCAGAATTGTTTTTTAATTTAAACTCTAGTTGTGTTATGTTGGATTCTGTGTTATTGTTGTTGTTTTTTCCCCACATTTGAGCATTATCTTTATACATAATTAAAATGCAAATCCTACTTTGTAATGATGTAATTATTTTATTATTTGCTTGTTAAAAGTTTCATTTCATGAAGATAGTTTAACATTCATTTTAAAAATATTGTGAAACTTGAAGAATTGTATTAGCCCTGTTTTGTCTCTGTGATTAACTTGAAAGTCGATGTTTTAAGAACTTAGTTTCAAAGAAAAATTGTATAAAACTTAATAAATATTGACTATTTTTCTGAATGCCTCTTTAATCAAAATCCATGATAAAGTGAATATAAAGAACTAATTGTATTATTTGTTTCAGGTTGATTTATCTTGAAGGTGCATTTAATAGAAAGTATGCAAGAGACACTGCTAGTGAAGTTTGTTTGTGTTTTTCTCCAACTTTCTGCCGTGGCATAATTATACCTCAAAGGATTATTTTCGTACTTGGGACTTTGTAAATATGTGTGTGTTTAATAAACAGTCGGATTTTTTTCACAAATATTTAAAGTCGTCATCGTTATGAAAATACTGGAACAATTAATACATTTTTTGAGCATAAGGCATTTTGCTAGCATAAGGTTGTCATTGAGATTGTGTAGGTCATGGACTTATAATGACAAGTTTTGCACTATAATATTGTAATCAATTTTTGTATAGTTTTTAAAAAACATTATTTATATAAGCCAGTGTTATTTCACTTTGTATATGTGGTATGACTTACTTTTGTATGAATGTTCAATTTGTTGAATGCAGAGAAAAATGAAAAAAAAATAAACCATTTTGTTGATTCTCATGTTTTTTGTTATCTATGTATAAATGTTGCAGTTTATCAGATCTAAACTGATTTACATTAGAGAAGACAAAACTGCGATATTGTTTTAATTTCTTTCTTGCTTGTAGTGCTCAAATATCTTCCAAATAGTTGCTAGTGGTCTACTTTTGTTTTATATTGTGGTATTTATATTCTAATCACCCAATTTTCGTCTGTGATAGTTCATGTATTCAGGATTTGAAAGTAATTTACAATGCTCCTCTTCCTTTTAAAGGCTTAAGATTATTTTGATTTCTTCAATCTAAAACTTGATTCAAAGAATTTACTTTAATAAATGTTGATAAATTGAGTATTTTAATTAAATTTATTCACATTTCATTGAAAATGACTTGTTATAGAATTAATTTCGTGAAATTAAATTTCATTTTGTTTTCAATTTTTTTTCGTTATTGTCATTGGTTTCTTGAAAACGGATCAGTAATAATGTGAACAAAATTTAATTTTTTCGTTCAATTATGGGTCTTGGTAAGTTAATTGAACTCATTAGATGCCCATCATACAATATTGGCTATTTCATACAGTTTTCTCAAGTTTAAATGTTGAAAAATACAATTAATGTAATAAATTGTTTAAGAATTAACAATTCATACTAAATGGGCTATGAGTATAAGCTCATCTCCCAAATTTAAATAGAAAAAAAAAATCGTAATATCCATCAATAACACAATATTTAATAAGTTTGGACTGGAAATAAAAAAAGAATTGTCATAAATTTATCTGAAATTCTATGATTTAAAATAATTTTGAATACCCAGAATTTAGTATGAATTAATATGTCCTAGCAGGAATAAGTCTATATTTGTCTTCGTGTTAGATTTAACTGAATAAGAACCATATCTAAATGTTTTAAAAATTCATGCCTAGAGAAGGTACAAGATGTGAAAAGTGACTGCCACTAGTTCCATTGTGTAGATTGACACCTTATTTTGAAAGTGAATGTACCGTGAGCTATTTAAGATGAGGTTTCATAGCATTACATTCTTTTTACAAGAATGTTATTAAAATGGAAGTTGGATTTTAGAAGTGTAAGAATTATGTACAAGTCAAAGTATAGTTTGGCTAATGATAGGAAAATTGTTCAAAAGAAAACTAAATCTCTCTAATTGTGTAGTATTGACTCTGTTAGAAGAGGTAGTCGATATACAGAAAATAAAACTACACAAAATATAAATGGAAATGGCGTGGCATAAAATATATATATATATTCGACTGGAGACTACCTGAACAAAACAAAAGAATGATGTGTGTCACGTTTCTAGCCTACTTGGCATGCCTGAACTTTTTCTTGTGTCACACAGCTACGGAGACTGAGACGATTTGTATTAGAAAGCTACATCTCTTTAGTTTTGCTCAAGCTGAGAACAAACGTGGGACCACCTCACTGAAAACTAGCACACTGTCTGAGCCACCCAAAGGACTTACGATATACATTTCTCAATTAGACCAAGTGTTTTTAGGTAAGTTCATTCTCCCCCATTTTTTGTAACAAAAATTAATTTTCAGGAAATAATTTCTCATATAGATAATAAAACCTACATTTTCAAATGATAATGGTGAGTTAACAAAGTTTTCACTATGAAAATTACCCAGCCTCTTATTTTTACTGAACTACATAATTCCTCACATCCATAGCATTCCTCACATCCAACAATTACACTCAAAGAAAATTTAAATAACTTTTTAGTTTGCTTTCATAAAAATGGGAAAGCACTTTCAAGAAGGAAAACAAAAACAAATATTGAAAGTGCATTTGTTGAATATTACATTTTGATTTATTTCACACATTCTTAAAAAACAGTTCAAAACTCTATATGATTTAATTTTAAGTTTATTCTTTTAGCTACAATGCTCTTCTATCAAATTCTTCATAATTGATGGATTATAATGAATCTGACGGTTTTGACCACATATCATAAACCACTCTAAAATAATTTTTGGAATTAAAAATTACAGTTTTAAGAAAATGTTTACTGGTAAATAATCTTAAATTAAAGAACTTACATATACTAGTAATAGATCACTTCTAGGAATTTGATGTTTATCCATCTCAAATATATTGCTTTTGTTCAATCAAATGGAATCGAGTAGGGGGAGGTAGCAGCAAGAGCTTGAAACTACTCTATTAAGAATGTGTCAAGAACTTATTGACTAAAAAATTTTAAATGAGTATTAATCTCAAAAATTAAAGAAACCCCTTCCAAAGAAACAAGGTTTTGCCCCGGGGGGGGGGGAGGGGTGTGTTGCGAGCAAACCGAATTTAAATGGTGAGAGGGGGATAACGAGAAATGAATACTACATTCATGCTACATTTTTAACGCAATTGTTGTGTTATTAACTGAAAACTATAGACAAGAGTTAAAATTAATTACAGATGTATTTTGAGACTAAATTTCACAAATTGTATTTAAATTGATACAATTTTTCCCAATTTTTAATAAAGTCACTTTTATTTAACCCAAGAATTCATCTCACATTGCTGTTAGTAAGTGTTAAATTGTTACAAATGAGGGTAAGGGGTTTTGAAAAGTGTAATTTTGTGAACAGTAAAATCTTATCCATAAAACAAAGATACGATTGATAAATGAACTGAAATTGGACATAGAGCCATGATAATAATTTGTTGAATATAAATTATAAGTTTTCTATGAGCAATTCTTTCTCACAGCATTTTAAAGCATTCAATGTGTAAATCACTGTAGATTGCATAGATTTTATATTACGCCAAAGAGCCAAATTATATATCTTTTGTTATGTATATATAGTGAAGTATGAAGTGTTATATAAAAACTGAAGTCAAATTAAATAGTGTATATCACATTACTTTTTTTTTTTTTAACAATTATTACTTGAAAATATTTCTTAAATCGAGTTTATGGCAAATTTGAATGTGAATGAATGTTTTTCTTTTATTGATTCATTAAAGCACACTGATAAAAATGCATTCAATCTTACAAATGCTATTTTATGATGTTGTTTGCCTTGATTATTTGTCAATTTCACATTTACTTAAGCTAATAATTTTTAAATGATATGTGTTTATAGAAATACTCCAGTCTAAAATGAATGATGTGTGCAAGCAACAAATGAAGCCTGAAGTTGGTTAAGCAGGACAATTTTAAATTAACGTAGTGTGAGAAAATGACAGTAATGTATCTAAATCAAATTTAAATAAAATTATTAACTTTTAATTGTGGAATATTAATTATTAATTTCGTATTTTTATTTTAAAAAATTAGTTTGATCAATTGATTCGAAGGTGCTTCACTGTAGGAAATTTTTACCAAGAGATGGTGCTGAAAGCTGAGTGCAATATTTCTAGATTCTCAATGAAGATGTGTCCTTTGTTTTCTCTGCACATATTATAGATTCAAATGTGCAAATATGTAAGAAAGTATTACCAAACATCAAATAATTACATCATTCAAATGATTTCACTCTTCTTCTTAAAAGGAGTAAAATGAAGATTTTATAAGTAAAAGAGGATAATCTTCATAATATAAAAATTTTCAACTCATGGAACTGGACATTGTTGTCCATGCAAATGTTATCCATGAAATAATCTTGCCAAGGATTTCTATTTCATGAAGACAAGTACACTAAAATCACAACAGATATAGCTAATAGTTTGACAAGGAAAACAAAATTCTTTCTCTGAACATCTTCTCTTTTAAATAGCCTAGTGTAGCTTTTGATATCCTAACAGCATATTTAGGTGTAAAGAGACAATATTTTT